AGGGCGCGCTCGCCGCCGCGGGCCACCACCACCAGCATCACGGCCACCACCATCCGCAGGCGCCGCCGCCCCCGCCGGCTCCCCAGCCCCAGCCGGCGCCTCAGCCCGGGGCCGCCGCAGCCCAGGCCGCCTCCTGGTATCTCAACCACAGCGGGGACCTGAACCACCTCCCCGGTCACACGTTCGCGGCCCAGCAGCAAACTTTCCCCAACGTGAGGGAGATGTTCAACTCCCACCGGCTGGGAATTGAGAACTCGACCCTCGGGGAGCCCCAGGTGAGCGGTAACGCGAGCTGTCAGCTGCCCTACAGATCCACGCCGTCTCTCTACCGCCACGCCGCCCCCTACTCCTACGACTGCACGAAATACTGACCCGCCCCAGGCCCTCTCCTGCCCCCAGTCCGCTCTGGCTTTGCCTCCCAGACCCGACACTCTCAGACGGCTAAGGCTGCAGAGATGCAAAAAGAAACAGAACATGTCCACCAAGTTTTTCTCAGACCCGGGAGCAGAGAGCGCGCGCGCCAGCCCTCAGCCCTCAGCCCTCAGCCGTCTGTGAAGGTGCAGGTAACTTTAATTCGCCGCCCCGTTTCTGGGATCCCAGGAAGCCCCTCTGAAAGGACGCAGCCCAACGAAATATTGATTTTAAAATCCCCCTCCCCTCCAGGATGGCTGTGCTCCGCTCCACTCGGGGTTTCGAAAATTAAGTTATGGACCAAATCCCATAGCGACCCACTAATGGCTTTCTGTAGAGCCCCCCATAGGTGTATGGGTACGGGAGTCTCTATAGATAATGTACGTGCTGTGTGTAATTTTAAATTCCTCTAACCGTGCTGTACAGATGTGTGGATTTGTAATCAGGCTATTTTTTGTTGTTGTTCAGAGCCATTAATATAATATTTAAAGTTGAGTTCACTGGATAATTTTTCATCTTGCCCAACAATTTCTGACTGCCAAATTAAATTCAAGAAACCTATGTGGGATTTTATTTTTTTTCTGTACAAGTATGAGATATAATTCTTTTCCCAGTTATAGGTCTTTTACAAAACAAGAAAATAATTTATTTTTGTTGGTGGTGGATAAAGTCAAGTATCTGATACTTTTTATTTACAAAGTTTGATGGTATTGTATAGTAGATTCCACCCTGAGTATTCCTAAAAGAAAAAAAAAACCCTCAAAAATTTTTAACTTCATCTGTGTTTGTCTTATGTGGTCTTAATTGTTGTACTTACCTTAAAATAAACCCATGTGTTGTTCTGCCCAAAGTTCGGAGAGCGTGTTTGTGTTATTGCATTTTTCAAAAACCAGGTGTGCTTTCAAACCCACCTGTTTTGGTTATTTTTGTTACATAGGTGTGTATACGTGTAGACATATAAAAGTGATCCCAGAGGAATGGAGACATTCCCCTATTGTCTTGTTTAGTGACAGAAAAGGCTTTTGATTAAAAAATCTGGGATTTTTTTTTCTCAAGTCAATCTGTATAACTTGTCCTGTTAATGGGGATGCCTGAAGGACGGGGACCAGTCACTTGCTGTAATGCATTTTGTTAAATTCAGAAAAACATGCCAATTGTCAAAACAAACAGTGCCAGCCCATCTCAATGTCCAGCTGTGCCCAATTTAGGAGACGCACAAGAGGGGAAGGATAAACGTTTGCCATTTGCTAACTACAACCGAGGGTGAGTCCCGCTTTCCCTCGATTTCCTAAAATGCGGACTTTTTTCCCCACTTTAATGGTTTCCCAGAGAAGAATTTGAACAGGGCCAGTGAGGGTCCAAAGGAGACTGATTCCCTAGTGTTTAATGTCGGATCCCCTCAATGGGCAGGTCAGAGGTGGATTTTGGACTGTTTTAACTTCTCGATTTGATTTCTAAATCTTCACCCTCAATGCAGAGAAAAATTTTAAAATCTCATAGCCCTTTAAAAATAATTTATGATGCTTTTAGAGTTCTAAATTGATCAACTTTTTAAAGATGTTAAATAATAGGGGGAATATTTTTTTCTTTTCAATTTTGATATCTATCTTTTTATTTTTAATAAGAACATAGCCTTTGTGAAATGTAGCTGGGGAAATGGCTTTCTTGTCTGTTTCACGGGCTGAAATCTACAACTCCCCTGCTGGCCTCTCCCTGTGAATTTTGGGACCAGAGCTTCACCAATTCCCACCCCAGCAGGTGAGCTGCACTTTGCCAAAGGTGGAGTTCTTTGTGGATTTAACATTTCAGGCGATTATAATTTTGCCAAAGGTGATTTTGCTTGGTGCAATGGGGCTGAAGTAACCTGGGTGGTGGTGTTGTTTTAAACATGGCATTTTATCTTTATGCTATGTTGAAACAGAATTAGGGGAAGTTTGAAGCATAATCATTTCCCTCATATGTGCAATACAGATTCTTTTAATCTGCGGCCCCAGAGGTGGTGCATGGTTAAGGCTAAAGGATGCATTTTATTCCTTGTCATAAGGTGTGGGACTCGACTTTCAGCAGGCCCCCAGGCCAGGAGTAATTTGGTTCAGCAAGCCGAAGGGGGAGCTAACGCGGGAGGGGGCCCCTCTCTGAGTTGCAGAATAAGGTGCCGGAGCAGTCCCTTGCCACTTCTGCTTCTGCTGTCCTCGGGCCTCTGCCCCAGGAGAAGAGGAAAGTATTCTAAACCTAAGTAATCGGGCTTTCTTCTTCCCCGCATGTTGCAAAGGGGCCACCCTGAAAGCTTGCCCTCCTCTTGAGGTTTGGAACCTTCGGTGCCCTATTAGTGAAGAGGCCTGAGACACACCGGACATAGAGGAGAGAGAGAAGTGGGCTGAGACATCTCGCAAGGCTGCTAGTGAATCCACGCTGGGCCTTTGCACACGTAGAAAGGCTTCTTAAAGAAGTCCCCGTTGTGTGCGGGCCGGTAACCCGAGTGGGTAGCTTGAGAAGATCTCTCCTCCCCTTGTGGAGGCTATGGCAAGGGGGTCTTTCCGTTCCCCTGGGAACGCAGGCAATTCGGGAGATTGTTTTGGGGGCTTTACGCAGGACTCCAGAGGCGACAGAGTGTAAATCCAGTCCCCTGGGGTACGTGAGGCCCGGGCACTTTGGGAGTGGCCCCGGGACCCTCGAAGGCTTCCCCGATCTGAGGCCACAGCGGCCGGGTTAGTCGCGGGTGAGGCCTGGCCACGCGCGGCACGCTGCGCTAAGAGCTGGGCTCAGCCCCTGCGCTCAGTCTAACGCAGACGCCGCGGGGACCTTGGGCCTAGGGACTTAGCAGCCTCCGGGGCGTCTGTTGCTTCCCCAGCCAAGTGGGGAAGCAACGGTGCTGTGAGCCGCGCCGAGCCAAAGCGCCCGCCCGACTGTCGCGCGTCTTCGCAGCCACCCCGCGCGTCTGCTGCCCAGCTCGCAAGGACCGCGGGGGTGCAGGTTGTCTTTGAGGCACGTATCTGCTTGCTGCCCGTTTCTTCAGTCGCCCAGTGCTTGGGAGGCCCAGGGGCTTTCAGGAAATGAGGAAAGGAGGTCGGGGATAGAAGGTTGTCCGCCACAAGCCTGTTGGGACTCGGGGCTGGGGCGGCTCTGCGGTCCCCGCAAACGCAGTCTGCACAATGCCATGTCTGATAACCGTGTTCCTTCCTGACGTAAGAAGAAGATACAGCTGGACACATCGCAAAGATGTTGCAAATAAAATGAAAGCAATCCGCACACCACGGCAGAGACTGTTTCCCGTAGAGTTAACCCTGCGTCCTCGGCTGGCCATGGCTGGGAGGACTCTGACTCTAACCAGAGTCCAGTTTTGCCAGAGATGGGCGGCTGGAGAGACCCCTGGCCTCTGAGCATCTCTCACATTCCCAGCCCAGGAAAGCTGCAGCTGGAGGAGCCCCTACCACCCGGCTTCTTGCAAGACTCCAAGGCCCTGCCCCAAACTCACAGCGTTTAGGAAGAGGGACTGCCGGTGTCAGGGTGCCAAGGCCTCTCCCAGCACTGACTTGTGTCTTCGGTCAGGGGTCCTCACTGCCCTGGCCCAAGTGGTTTGTCCCCACAGATGCAAATTCATTGGTGACTTGCGTTCCTGAATTGCTCAAGCACTGGGCTAGGAATTAGACCCACATCTCGCAGAACAAAACTCTTCCCCTCCCTGGCCTCGGTCTTTTTATCTGTAAAATGACCAGGTGGCCAGGGTGGGCCTGCACTGTCCCTCAGCATAGCCAGCGCTCCTGCAACTGGCTCTTGCTTATCCAGCTGCTCGCCTATGGTGAGAAATGAAGATCAGAAGTTGGAGAAGAAAATACAGGGTCCTGGGAACTTTGGCGCTGTGCTCATCGACCTTTTGGGGTCCATCTCCTCCCCTTTATCCCATAACTGCCTGGGGGTTGACGGAGGAGGATTGTGAGCTGCACTCAAAGCACAGAGAACAGAGTCCCCAGCTTCCCACCCTCAATTCCAAAAATATGGGGAGGAGGTGTTGGTTAAGGTTGGCTGATGGGAATTTATTGTTAACTGCAAAGCTGAGGTGGGTGAGGATAGAGACACAGAGAAAAGACACCCACCGATGAATGGGCAGAACCAAGTTTCTTGAGAAGGTGCTGGGGGCTCTGAACCCATGGCTGGCACCTCGGGGAACATGTGCTTGCGTGGGTCGCTGGGATTGTACGCTCCTGTCTGACTCTCATATGTGCTGAAGGTGAGTAGACATCTGAGGTTTTACCCCTTAAGTGCAGGTAGGTTAGGGATGACTGGGGGTCCCAGGTAAAGTGCCTCCATTCCAGGTGAGCGGACAGGCTGGGTCAGCGTCCCCCAAGGGCCACCCCTCTGCCTCCCAGCACGTGCCTTCTTGCACCACATTTTTGAAATGCTTTCCCAAACTTTGAGAAGCATTCCCTGCCTGCTTTTTTCTTGCATGGCCTCGGCTCTCCAAGGCGTTTGAAATGTTTGCTTTCTGACATAGGCATGTAAGGAAGGGGATGAAGTGTTTCAGAGGAGTTTGGAAGGCTTGCAGCAGCCATTGGGGACAGCCACTGCGTGCCCGGGGAGACGCCAGTCACCTTTAATGCCAGCCAGACTTTACCTTACTTTTTAAACATGCCTGCTCTACAGTGAAAGTAGAAAGACATATCTTGCATAGAGTTTGATTCTTGAGCGTATCTCTTGGGGTGCCACACTTTTTCCAAATGTCAGGCTTGTGGGGATTTAATTCTTGGACTGTGAATGTGTAAAGAGTTTAAATGGGGAGAAGGGGACAGTTGACAGGCTGCTGGCATCCCAGATCTCTTTCAGGGAATGGAGTTGGGGAGCACTGGGAGGCTTACACCCTTCTCATGTCCTGGGGTGCAGCTTTGGACTATGGAACCTCAGTCTGTGCCCATCCAGGCTAGAAGGTCCTGGAGGCCAGCAAGGCCCCTCTGACCCGGAGGCTCCATCCAGGGCTCTGGGCCTTGCCTCTCCCAGCAGCCCTCTGGCCTTCGCTGTCACTCTCCCTCACAGGCAGCCTCCCCAGCCGAGTCTTTCCCTCCAAATCTGAATCCACACATACCAACTCAGGCTCCTACAACCAGGCCTGCCAAGGGTTACCTTAAGTTCTCTGGGCCAGTTTCTCAACTTAAAAAATAATAAAATTATTGAATAGAGTTATCGTGAGGATTAATGAACCTAACACACATTGGCAAAGTGCTTCCCTAGTGCCCTGTCCAGAGTAAGGACTCACTGTCAGCTATTAGGGTTGCTGGAGAACAGAAGAGAAATGATTGATCTCAACGAACTGCATATATCAGGCCGTGCTTTGGGCAGGGCAGGGCTTCACCCTAACCACCCCTGTTAGGAGCCTTTCAATCATTTGGAGAACAAGGTGAGCTATACATAAGTGCGTCATTTGGAAAATCCTGCCGCCATCACCTTCATGTCCCGACCCCAGGCTCGCTCCACCCAAAGAGAAGCAGCAGAGGACCCTGCTACCCCATCCTGGAAACCTTGCACTCTTCTCAAAGTGGCAGGGGAGAGGAGGAGAGGGTCTTCTGGGTTTTGGTGGGATATAAGTGAAGTCTCTGGGGTTTCCTACTTGTGATGTCCCAAACCCCTGGGCTCTGGAGGTGTCGCATACCTCTTCTCTCTAGTGGGTTCCCTCTCCTGATGTCTGCTCCAGACAGTCTCTCTATCTGAGCCCCTGAAGACACCTGAGCATGGCAGACGTCAGAGCACCCACCTTTGGAGGACAATCTTGTGCGTTCTCATCCCTGTTCAGCCATTCACTACCTCTACGGTCTTGGGATGTTCTATGCCCAGACTCAGTTTTGTCATCTGTAAGATGGGTGAATACATCTCTCTTGTCTTTCATAGATGCTGTGAGGGTTAACGAGGGAACTTCCACAGGGCCCTGAGTGTTCACACATAGTAACTATTATAATATGATTGTTTCTCTGTCTTTGGAACACGTCCTCCTGGGAGGCAAGTTATCCTCCCGGGCCTCAGTTTCCTGGTCTGAAAAATGGGAATGACAAAGTTTTCTATTAGGGTTACTGGGCAAATGGACTGACTTCGTGTAAGCAAAGCGCTTGGAACAATGCCTCTCATAGTAGCACTCAATACTGTTTATTTATTGATATTATTATTTCCATCTTTGTCCCCAGCATTTTTAGGTTTTCAGTGGCTGGTTTAAGTCCTGCATCTTTCCAAAGCCCTGTCTTCTCAAACATAATGGACATCTGATAGAATCAAGGCTACTTCAAAAACTTCACGGAAAAGTAGAACTAAAAGATAATAGGAATCTTCGATGAACTTTTTGAAGTACCCTTGTACTTATATACAACCTGTTAACTGTCTTCACACTTGGAAAAGTGATCCAGATATTTGGAGAGATGAAGCCGATCATGGTGAACCTGGGCGTCTGCTCTTTCCTTGCCTGTGCCGCCGGGGAGGGTGGCGGTGGGGGCAGTGGGAGGAGCTCCGCCTCTCACCCTTCAGCCCTTTTTTCTGAGGCCTCTTTCCTCCCCAGTGCCTGGGCTCCGTCCAGCCTCCCCAAGGAGCGCACATCCGTTTTGTCCCAGGGCTGGGAACGGTGCCGTCCGTCCTCATCCCACGCTGAACTCGATTTCTTGCTCAGGCCTCAGAGTTGGAAAGGCCCCCGCCATTCCTGGAGCATCCTGGCTGGCCAGAGGTCCCACGGCTTTCCTGCAGGCTGGGAGATGCGCTCACACCAACTGTCTTCGAAGACCACTAGCTTTTCTGGGATCTGTAGGCTTATGAACCTGCAGGGAACTTTTGGTGTCCCCATCTGGCTCTCTGGAGACATCCACTCCACCCGGCTGTCTCCCAGGCTCAGCCGCCGCCCACCAGGTCTCCGACTCGTCCTCAGCCAACAGAGCTTCCGCACGAGGGCGCATCCGCTCTCGGACGCCAGGGGCTTGTGCCTCGCACTACCCGGAAACATGGAAATATGCCCCAGCGTGGGGGTTCCTTCCAGCAGCGGCCACTCCTAGGCTCAAGTTACAAACTTCACCTGGGAGCCCAGGATTTATCCTCGCGCTGAGCCTGGCTGGGGCGCGATGCCAGGATTCTACAGCTGAGTCTCCGGGAGTCTTTGCAAAGTTCTGCACGCGCAGGGCTGGGTGTGCACCTCCAAAGTGCCTCTAGAATTCGGGTATTTATTTTTTTCTCCCTTTACTATCGGTGCCCCGCCCACCGGCTGCGCGTGTCCCCGCCCGTGTCCGGCCCATGCCCAAACTGGGTGGTGTTTATTATTGCACGAATTCTAGCTTGGATTTGCTTTAGAGTTTAAAAGACGCGCTGGGACGGCGCGCATTTCGGGAGACGCAGGGATGTGCGTGCTGGACTTGGGGTGTCCAGGGAGCTCTAGGAGGGACTGTAGGATGCAGAAGTGGGGGAGGCGGTTGTATAGTGACACCCGGTTGTCTCTTGGTCTGGAATGTTAGAGAGGGCGCGGAGGCTGGAAACAGGGAGCTGGATCCGAATTTGAGCTTGCTGGGGGCACGCTGGTATGGGAAGGTTGGGAGACCCTGGGGACTGCAGGGCCAGTGGGTTGCAAAGGCGCGTTTTGAGGGTGTTGGGGATGGTTTTTCACCCCAGGGTTGAAAGGGATGAGCCGGTGAGAGCGAGGGTTCCTGAGAGGACAACGCTCCGCCCCCTCCTGGATAGAGGGCCACCCCCGGACCTAGGCCGGGCCGCACCCTTGGCCTACGTTAGAAATACCGGGCTGCGGAGGGAGGTCCGGAGGTGTCCCAGGGCCCGGCGGGTGCTCCCTCAGGCGGTGCGTCCACCCAAACCGGTTTTTCCGCACTGATTCCGACTCCCCCCCCCCAATTTTACCCGTTCCCCTGTATTCTATTTATTCCACGGGTTGGATATCTGGAAACCCCCAATCACGTGGTTAATTTTCTGGATTCCCTATTTTACAGTGGGATGCTCCCCTCTTTTTGTGTTCAGAGACTACCTAACCAGTCCCCATCCTGGTATCATCTCTGTGACAGCGTCAGCGGCAGACATCGCTCCGCCCCCCATTAGTGCGCATTTAGTGTCTCTCGCCCCCTTCCCAGCGGTGCATGGCGGTGGGCAGTTTCCACCCCACCTGCCGTGCGCACCCCTCCCTCTTCTCTTTGGCATCGCAGCGCGATTTACTCAATGAAACGCTAATTCAGTTATCCCCAATGTTTTCTTTTTCTTTTAAAAAATATTCCGCGGAGATCGTAAACAGGAACTAGTCACGCTACGTTCACCCCAACCCTACCCCGCCGCGGTGGAGTCGGGGGAGAGACACCTCCTTGGGAATCAGCATCATTCAGGATTTTTTTATTCAGACTGTGACATGGCTAAATGTGAAATGAGACGGGGTGGGGGGTGCTTACACCCCAGGGTGGTGGGTGGGAGGCGGGGAGAGCAAGCAGGCTTCCCAAATGCTTAATGTAATCACGGGCCAGCTGCATGCACTTGTAAAGTTGTTATAACCCCCCTCCTTGTTATAAACAGGAAAGCACAGAATATAAAGCAAAAGACCCGCATTCACAAATACCAGCCCTCACGAGCCAGCTGCCAAATTCCCCTTTTATGGTGTTCCTCGCTTGCAACCTTAGCCTCGCCCGAAAGACCTTAGTTTTGCCCCCAATTCTCCCAACCAGTTTACACAGAAACCTTCCTTAAGGGAGTGATGGACCAGGTACCCTACACTCTATCCTGCTCAGCAGTGGCCTATGCCTTCCCTTCCAGAAAGGCTGGGCTCCCGGAGTCCACTGATCTCCTAGGAGCCTTGTGGGGTGGTGGGGGAGCCTCTGGGTTACTAGGTCCCTAAAGAGTGACTGTCTCTTATTGTGTGGGGGGGAGGGGGTCTGCAGAGTATCTCTTCAGGCAGGGCTGCATCCTCTCCTCATCAGACACCCAAACCTCTTAGATAGACACACCTCCAGCATCCCCACCATGTCTAAAAGGTTTCAAGGACCTCAGAAAGCATTTTATAAGACTGTGCCATCTCTATATCTCCTATTAAGCCTGGGAGAAGAAGAGACCTTTTGTGGGAGGTCCCAGGCTTACCGGGGCTCCCCCAGGCCAGCGGTAAAACTCACCCCTGAGTCCCCACCCCCATCTCCACCTCCCCTTCCTGGCCAGGCGGACCCTGCTCCGAGCCACCGCGGTCCACATCCTGCCTCACTGACTGTGTGTGCTTACAGCGTCAAGGGGTGGACGTGATATTTCAAACATCAGATCAGTGCGTTTATATATTGGGTGCCCGGAAATTTTTCCAAATAAACACAGCTTGATTCAACTTGGGTGGGCGGACTTATCAACAGACTAATTCTATAAACAAATGAAGGAATAGCCCCGAAACTGATTGGCTGGTATCAAAAAGACACGTGGAGGGAAAAGCTTGGAGTTTTTCAGCAATGAAATTTTAATTAATGTGGGTGGGCTGAGAACACAACGACTGTTTATCATAGACAATTTATTTTCCAGCGCTAAGTCAACATATAATAGCAAACTTACAACAATTATTTAACATTTTTAAAGCCATGAAGAAGGGACAGAGCGCGGAGCGGCTGGGCAGAGCGGCAGAGCCGGAGGCAGACTCGCGGCGGTCTCCCCAGGAGGGCCCTCGCGCCGCGGGGCGCAGTCCCTAAACCGCGCGGCCGCCTGCGTCTCGGGGAAGGCGGCGCCGGCTCTCGCTCGCCATGAGCCACCTCTTCAGTCCCCGGCTGCCTGCTCTGGCCGCCTCGCCCATGCTGTATCTCTACGGCCCCGAGAGACCCGGGCTGCCTCTGGCCTTCGCCCCCGCGGCTGCTCTGGCTGCCTCGGGCCGGGCGGAGCCCCCCCAGAAGCCGCCCTACAGCTACATCGCGCTCATAGCCATGGCCATCCAGGACGCGCCCGAGCAGAGGGTCACGCTCAACGGCATCTACCAGTTCATCATGGACCGCTTCCCCTTCTACCACGACAACCGGCAGGGCTGGCAGAACAGCATCCGCCACAACCTCTCGCTCAACGACTGCTTCGTCAAGGTGCCCCGCGAGAAAGGGCGGCCGGGCAAGGGCAGCTACTGGACGCTGGACCCTCGCTGCCTGGACATGTTCGAGAACGGCAACTACCGGCGCCGGAAGAGGAAGCCCAAGCCGGGCCCCGGGGCCCCGGAGGCCAAGCGGGCCCGCGCCGAGACGCACGAGCCCGCTGTACGGCCAAGGC